CCCAATTAACTTTTGGAGGACACAACACACACTCAACAATACTTTCCAAGAGTCCAAACAACATAAGGTTTCAAGAACATCTTTACCTCCTATAATAAACTCCAATCTACACTACACATGGCCATAAATCTCCCAAAAACATTAGCAAAATCAATAAAGATTCAATTTTTGACCATTCCCCACGTAGTAAGAACTCAAATCAGCAAAACCCAGAAAGGATCAACCCCAAAACACCTCTGATTCACCTCCATGAAAATGGTAAAATAAACTTTCTTGCAATACAATTATCAAACGAAATTTCTCCAAAATACTAAAATTATTGAAAATTACAACTTAGAGATCTGCCCTTTTGTTTTGATTGTATGGAGAATATATTTCTCCTAATCAGTTTTTAGATGTTGAAAAATCGACTTCAATGGAGTATGGATGAAAGAGATGAAAGATGAATTTCTGTTTTTTTTTAAACATGGAATTGACGTGGGGTGAGAGATTTAGATGGGGTGGGGTGTGACTTGTAACTGTAAAAAAAGAACTATAATCAATGTAAATCCCTATAATTGTGTAAGAGATAATTATGGGGTATTCTTTATTTAAATAATTTAATAATAATATAAAATTATAAAAAAATAACTTATTTAATAAAGTAAAATTTAATTAATTTATAAATAATTAGTGATATGTTATAACCCGTAATTAAACTGTTATAAGCAAGAATTTTTTAAAAGTAGATTTAAAACCTGTAATATTGACTCTTAAATGTGTATATGGGGTGATTTTTACATTATTTATTTATCGTAAATTCAACTAAATCATGGACATCCAAGTACGGACGTTTATTGATAGGACCACGGAAGAACCAAAATTTATTAAATGATACTTCTAGTTATAAAAAGTCCTTCTGGAAGAATTGTTCATTAACTAAGAATAATTTAGAAAGAATCGTGTTTAGCTAGGACTTATTAATTAATTAGGAGTTACTGTAGCTTTTAAGATAAACTATTTTGCTCAGATATTTGCCGATTGAAGAGTAAATTTCTTCGAACGGTAACTTAAGTATATAGAATTACTTAATAAATTGATTTCTTAGGTCACCTAGACATGAATGCCACACTGTAAAATTCGAATAAATAAGTTCAATCGTTAAATTTAATTGTTGAACTCATCGTATCCAAAAATTAATAAATATTAAATTCAGCTGAATTCATAATTTTACGTCGTAGTTGATAAAGAAGTTAGGTATACAAGAGACAGGACCACCAGGGAACAAGTCTTGGGATTCCTACGTGTGCACCAATTAGCAGGAAAAGCACAAAACTAGTAATACCAAGATAAGAGCACTTGGATCGGACAATCAACTTGATGAGACATAATATATAGTATATATGATCCCAAATATTATATTATTACAAGTTATTAAACCATTACAATGTAATAATAAAACCCTTGATGTTGACATGGAGTTTTGGAACATCCACTATAATATAATTCACTTGCAATGTATGCCATGAAGTTCAATTTGGCCAATAAATGTGAATAAGACTTGCAAAGAATGAGTTACTGAAAGTAAAAAAAATCTATCGTAGAAACCATTATTTTGTTAGAAATAATCGATAGGTTAATGTTTTATCAATATTTTAAATCCAAAGCTTTAGTTTCAAAATATTGGCATTATATGTAATGCATGCACTAATTTTTACCCAATAATATTTTCACATTCTTAATTTGAAATTTTCCTAGAATTACTCTCAGGGTATATATGAATCAGGTTGGTTTAGATTTTTCAAATATAAAACTAAATTATTTATATCTAATTTTTAAATCTATAAATCAAATCAAGTAAAGTTGAATTTTTCAATTTTCAATGTTTTCAGATAAAGTCTTCATATAAAAATATAATTAATTTTTTATTCAGATAGTTTTTTTTGTCATAACAAGATATAATAGTCTAAGGTGTTTCTTAAAAAAATATATAAAATATATAATGAGTGATGACAATGAAATATTCAACAAAAATAAAATCGCATAAAATAAATATTACATATTAATAAATCATAATAAAAATGATCATAATTTAAAAATATCAAGTCATGTTATAATAAGTATTAATTACATGACTAAACACTAAAGTGAAAAAAATTACACTATATATCCCCCATAAAAGCAAAATAATTACAAACATACCACTTTACATTCATACCCACTAAATAATTACATTATGTACCCCCAATTAATTTCGCTTAATTGATACTAAATTAGTATCATATACTGTATTGATATTATTATGGCTGATAATTTCACTTAATTAATACTAAATCAATATATATAACTGATATCATTAAGATTTCTTATTCAAAATTACTCATTATTCAATAATACTATATATATAGAGAGAGACACTGTTATAGTATTATTGAATATTACTTTGAAATGTACATCAGCAATGCAAAACTCACACGAGGTTAGTTATTTTTACACGTAAGTCAATGTTGGGAGGAAATGAAAACTCCTGGCCACTTATAAATTTAAAATAAATAGAAGAGAATGATCTTTTGAAAGCCGCTTATAAATTGAATAGAAAAACAACAGAAATTATATAATTAGATATATTTTGCTATCATAGATATTATTATGAAAAAATTATACAGAATATCAAATATTTAACTTATATTAGGTACTATAGCTGGAGTTTAAGAAAATTATAATTCGTGGATACAATTTCTTAATTTTTGATATTCGTTTGATTTGTATAAATTCAGAATTTGTATAATTCCGTTCCTGATTGTATAAATTTAGAATTTGTATATGCTTACCCTAACTATTTGTATACAATTTATGAAAAATTCATAATATATTACCCTGTTTGTATATTAGCAAGCAAAAATATGCAAACGGAGTCCTGAAAAATTCCTAAATGTATAAATACAAAATTACATATACATACCCTATTTGTATATTCGCAATCTAAATACACAAATCGCAGCCTCCATAACAAATAAAACTATAACTATGAAACACAATTATCGAAACTATAGCTATAGAGCCTTATGATGTCTATTATGTTTGCTATTTCTAAAATTCTCTACACTATTATTATCTATATTTTCAAAATATTATCTATCTTCGCACTAATTAAGAGTTTCCTACCATATATTGAGAAATATACACTTCGATACATGTATTTTTGCTACCAAGTACACTAAAATAGGGAGAGAGGCGAGCGAGATAGAAAGGGAGAGAAGCGAGATTTTGTAATGTATCTCAGATACATATGAATCACGCTATATACATATGTATGTATCCGTTGTGATTCACATGTATCTAGGATACCAGATACATAAGAGAGTGGAGAGAGAAGGGAGAGAGGCAAACGAGATTTATTATGTATTCTAAATACATGTGAATCCACTTGGATACAATGTAACTCGAACAAATTTGAACACCTGTATCATGAGATAGATGTATCAGGACGTATCTGAACGTATTAGAATCTGGTAAGATACATAATATTGTAAACTAGAGTGTATCCAAGTAATTAGCTCCTAAACTAATGAAATTTATCCAAGTTTCCCAAAAAAAAAAAAAATTCTTCAAATTTCTTGGGTGTAAAAATGCAGGTCTCTCATTAAGAAAAATTTAAACTTTAAAGAAATTGTAATGTCCTACAAAATCAATTCTCCCACGAAGTGTTTATCTAAATTATACATGAATAATTTCGAGATAATATGTTATGTTTATATAACAAACACAACAAATAAGAGACTTATTTTATTTTTAAAAAAATAAAATAAGTAATTTTTAATGTTCAGTAAGTAAAAAATATTTTAAATCCCAAATGCATTTATTATTAGGAAAAATCTTTTTGGCTAGAAAATTTGGCCAGAATTTGGTCAGAATGATATTTTATCTATGTTATTTTACCTTTTAAAACATTTTTACCCTTTTAACTTTAATACCTTTTAACTAAAAAATGGAAAAAAGATCAGTTTGTTTTAAAACAAATTTTTTTTTATAGTTTTTTTAATTTTCTGGTCATTTAGCACTTTCCTTATTATTAATACAACAAAAAGCTATTAGAGTGAAATGGCATGGAAAGTAAGGGGGACGGCGAGGAATGGGAAAAAGATTTCACTCATGAAACTTGTTTTTTCTATTTTCAAAAAATGTTATTTTCCTGATTTTGAGAAATTTAAATATTTTGACCAGAATACTACGCATCACATTCCATCTTAAATTTGAAGCGTGTAGAATTTAAAGCAACTCATATGTGCACGTTTTAACCTTCATTAGCCACACACTCACACTCCTCCTACCCTGCTACCCCTACCCAACCCACCCACCCACACCCCAAGAAATGAAAAGAAGACAAAAATCAACCACAAAACTTATGATAATTCCACTCAAATATCATTTAAAGTAAGAAAAAACACATATTTTTATTAATTGAAAGTATAATGTGTTTAATCAGATATCAGAAGTATTAAAATGAAATTTTATAAAAACTTGAAGGACTAAAAGTGCTACTAAACAAACTTTCTATCCCCTCTATAAATAGGCCATCAAAAATGAAAATTAAATGTCTACAAATTAAAACAAAGAAGCCAGTGGACTAGAAGAGAACTTGTTCACTTGTTTGGCAACTTTCAATCATTTGTACTTTTAACTTCCACATAAAGGTATGTCCAGAACTTCTTAGTTACAACATCAACTTCAAAATTAATTAATCGTTGTTATTTCAAGCTCAATCTATTCACATGTCTTGCTAATATTATATTTTCATCTCCTCTTTTGGAACATATATATGTTGATATTGAACTAACTTTGGTTCCTTTTTATTCATTTCTTTGAATGAGATCATGCACATTATCATGTGTGCCTAATTCTTATATATCAAACATTCTTTTACATTTTTAGTGTCAAAAGAAAAATAATCTTAAATATTTCAATGAGACTATCAAGCAATTTAATTTCAAGCTTTAAGTGAAGAAGACAAGAAAATTCAAAATTCACTTCTAATCAACCATTAAAAAGAAAAAGAGATACATTCCTTATCAAAGTGATAAAGTTACTTTCCTTGACTTTGTTCCTGAAAAAGAAGTGGCTATCTACTAATTACTCACTCTATTCGAATTTCGATGACGCATTTTTTCTTTTTAGTCTATAAAAAAAATGATATTAATTTTTCTGTATTTGAATTTGAACTACTTATTTACCATTTGTAAGATTACGTATAGTCTAAATATCTATAAGTTATTTTAACTATCTATAAGTTATTTCTTAAATTTCGTGTCAGTTAAAGTGTTATCACGTTGAGTGTATAAAAGATACGTATAAGGAAGTAGTGCATGATGATGAGGAAAAGTTAGCAACATTAATATAGACCAAGTTTCAAACAACATGCATTATCATATGTGTTGTTAGCCGCACGTTGAAAAGTTTGGTCTTTTCTCTACTTTCTGTTAGTTGTTTTGATTACATATTTTTAACAATTTTAGAATGCCACTACTTCCTTAACCTTTTTTAAAAAATACTTAATTATCTTTTTCTTTCTTTTTGGGTTAACAATTGCGTGAGCACAAGTGGAATTCTTTTTGTGATATATAACAATAATTCTATTGTAACAACACTCTATCGTTTTTCCAACAAATGATAAGGACACCAAGTCTAAAAGAAAAGAAGATAACCAAAGTATTACACTTATTATTATTGGTGGAAAAGGAAATATTGGTCGATACTTCCTCCGTCTTTAATTGGTATGAGGTAGTTTGAATTGACACGAAGTTAAAGAAAGAAAGAAAGAAATACTTTTGAAATTTGTGTTCTGAAATAAGTCATAAATATTAGTGTGACTATACATCATTTTTATTAAGGATAAAATAAGCATTTTTAAAGTTAAATATTATTATAAATATGCCATTCTTTTTTAAACTAACTAAAAAGTAAAGTGAATCATATAAACTAGGACAGAGAAAGTAATTTGAACTACTTATTTCCAAATATTTAAATTGATTCACTCACTAGGGGGGCATTGGGACATAAAAAATGTAAAATATGAAAATTGGAATTATTTTTTATTTGATCATCTAATAAGATTGTATAAACATTGAATTTTCTTATACGTTTTTATAGTTTTTACAAATTATAAGATCTTCATGTTTATTAAACAAATACGGAAATACAATGTAACAAATCAACTTTAAATTAATCTAATTTCAAATAAGTGATTTCAGCTTTTAACAACTTAAACAACTTTATTTGTTGAATAATGGGATGTCGAATGAGTACAATAAATCTCTTCCTTTTATTTAGAAACCAACAAAAAAAACCTAACAACACTACTTCTGTTAAGACAATGAAAACAATATATGAAGTACTAACAATCAGGACACCATATATGTATATATATATATATATATATATATATACACATACGGTAGATATATGAGTTAGTGTCAGCATGGATTCAGCGTACGTTACTCTCTCCGTCCAATAATAGTTGTCCAACAATATTTGTCCAGTTTAAAATATCAAGAGATAATTTATCTTTTGTGTCTATTTTACCCTTGCTATTAAATAGTACTGTCATCTAACACATTTCTCAGAGCATTAAGTTTAATAAAGTCAAAGGATAAAATAGTACTTCCTCTGTCCCTAATTACTTGTCCACTTTTGAAATGACACACCTATTAAGAAAAACATTATTGACATAGTGAGTTTACCATTTTTCCCCTATTAATTATGAAGTGGATGAATTAAAATTTAAGATTTTCAAAAAGTTCTACCTTTTAAAAAGTAATTAATTGAGGGTATAATAGGTAAAAAAATTGTCCTTTCTTAATTTGTCAAAATTGACAAGTAATTAGGAACAACTATAAAAGGAAAAATGGACAATTAATTAGGGACAGAGGGAGTAACAGATTGTTTCTTAAGGGGTGTGCCAAGTTGGACAACTATTGTTGAATAGGGAGAATATTTTTCTACTTTAATTTAGGATAAAATTTTAAAATTTTACTAATTTTTTTTATATATATTTTAAATATTGTAAATTATTAATTACTATAATTTGTAATATTTTTTACTTACTTTTTAAATATATAATAAATTTTAAAAATAAGATACATATTTAAAATAATTTTTTTTAAAAAATATCCTTGATTAGAAGTGGTATACCAATGAACAACCACTTGCTTATGGCCTCTTGTAGTTAGTAGTTAATTAATAATGAGCTCTCTCTAATTATGACAAAATCAGAAATCTGTCCACGGCCAGAAATTGGAACCTTGTACTTGATTTTTGGCCCTAATAATAATCACCTTTTGTCCCAAAATAGTCACCATTTAGTCTAGAGAGGATATATGATGTTTAATTTATGAATTTTTTTCTTAGGAAATTCACATAAACCATCTATTTAGAATCTATTAGGCAAAAAAGTTGTGATCCAGAATTCATAAATTTAAATTCTTGAATTCGTCTGTAGTGTGGATCTCACTAAACCGCACAAATGTATACGCATTTTAGTGCATTAGGGCATGGTCTAGTGAAAAATGAAGTATTGAGAGAAGAATCATGAGGTTTCAGATTCATGTTTTCCAATAGAAGTAAAAAAAAAGATTAGAAATTTTTTTCTTATCTGTATGAGCTTCACTGGATAAAATTACTCGATACTTATGTTTGTTAAGAGATAACACAGAGAAATAATTGAAGTGCATGCGCATAAATTAAAATAAATCGTAGGATAAATAACGAAGGTTATCTAAGTGAGCCTTTAACTAGACAAGAAGCTAGCATTCCGTGTCGGTGCATATGAAGAGCCTAAAACTAGAAATTAAATCATATTATTTAGAACTTAAAACAAAAACTCTAGCTTTTCGAAGCGAGATCAAAATATCAAGAATTTTAATAGCTCAATTTGTTGATTATCTGAACTTTCATCTTACTACTGAGAGGTCGATTTTCAACTTGTAATCTCCTCCCCTATTTCCTCCTTCCCCTACTAGGGGTAGAGCCACCTTGTACGAAGGGGGTTCGTCCGAACCCCCTTCGACGGAAAATTATATTACTTATACATGCTTAAAATAATTTTTTTATGTATATATAGTAGATGTCGAAACCCCTTCGGCTATTTCATGTGTCTATTTCTACATATTTTGAACCCCCTTATTGAAAATTCTGACTCCGTCACTGCCATGCCGGTTATTTTTAAAGAAATATTGACAACATTAGTCTTCATAGACCATTTTCCTATTATTATTTTTTATCGTGAAAAACAAGGCTTTCTTTTCTTAAGCTTTAATTTTCCTTGTTGATTATTTCCATGACCTTTCCTCCTCCTTTTTTTTCTTTTGGCCTAAAAATGATACTGCACTTATCTAGTGGAGTACCTATTCTGTACATGGGGTAGTCGATCTCGTTCATAGTATTTTAATGCCAACGAGGATCGAGACTCCTACGTACTGTAAGAATATTTTATATTATCAAATGTAATTTAATATGTTATAGCAGGCTACATATCATTTGTCCTATGTTGTTAATAACATATTAATAAAGTCATTTGTAATTATCTTTTAAATAACTTAGTTATAATATTTTAATTATATCGTCAATATATATAACTTAAACTCTATTTAAAGACCGGTCACTTGAATTGGGAAGGCTTATTTGGAGACGGCACACATGAACAGATATACCTTTCTATGTTGGTTTTGTTGATTCATCTTCTAATTCTCTTCATTAATATAAAAATTCTGAAAGAACAGAAAAAATATAGTTTTTAATTTACTGATATGGAAAGGTCTATTGTTTTGTGCAAATTTTGCTTTGTTAACAACTTGGGGAAATAGAACTGAGGCAGGTTCATCCCTGCCTACTTTGTCTGTCCATTCCTATTTGTTCCTTTAATTCTTTTAAACAAAAAAGAAATAAAATTATAGCCAAGAAAATATTTATAACAAGTTTTAGAGTATAACACGATCATATATATTAAGACAGAGAAATTGATTGTGCTTTCAGTTACAAAAGCTACACATTTTTGCTTGATTCTTTAATTATTATTATTATTTCCTCTAGTCCAATATAAATAAATTATAAGGGTGTGTGTCAAAATAAATTATCTAAGTGTGACACAAATATAGAGAGTCATTCTTTGATATTTAAAAATAATTGAAAACTCTAGTAAAAAGAAGGGTAATTTTGAATAACCCATTTTCCTTTTTGACAACATTTTATTTTCAATTTTTCACTATGTTTAAAATCATAAAATTAGAGGGTATTTTTAATACATTTGATATAACTTAATTTAGAACTATAAAATTAAAAAAAATCTTTTTTATTTTCTTAAATTTTGTGTCAGTCAAATTAGGTCATTCTTTTTGTAACGGAGGAGTATTATTTTGGTCATTACTCTTTTGGACTTTTATACAGGAAAAGATTCTTATATTTCCTACCTAGTCCTTTTTTTTTTTGGTTATAAATAAATGAATTAGAGGAAAATATGTGTCATCATGATACTACGGAAAAGTACAATAAGTGCATGCCTAGATGCGTTAAACTCACTTATTATCTTCATTAAAGTTAACCTATATCTATACAACCATTTTACTACCAGTTTCATTTAATTCTTTGTCCTCAACTTTTATTGAAAACTTAATAGAGAATTTAGTCATACTATAAATTCATTCACTTGTTAATTTTACTCTCCTCCATTGCTTTCTTCCATCAGGTTCTTTTCAAATTACTCATTCTTTATATTATGTTTCATACCATTTGTGACTAAATTTTGAATTTTTGATGATTTTTAGGTGCACTAGCCAACGCGTTTTGCGCGATAAGTTATCAAAATCAAGGACTCATGGCTGAAGTTGGCAATGTAGCTTGCACTGAAAGAAGATGGAACATACCAATCTTTGTTTTCTTTGAAGACATTAGGTACATTTTGTCAAGTATTTGTTGATTTTTTTTCTCCAAACATTAAATTTTGCTCGGTTTAATCACTTATGTAATTTATTTTTCTTGTGGTGTTTAGGAATGTCTTTAAATTCGATGATCTTGGCATGGAAATCCTACGTATCGCGTTCCCTGCAGCTCTTGCATTAGCTGCTGATCCTATTGCTTCTCTCATTGATACAGCATTCATCGGTCATTTAGGTATGTACGTTTAGGATTAAAGTTCAGGTAGTCAATCGAGTGGTATCAAAATTCACCTCAATGTGAACATAGGACTTTTGTATTCAAAAGCTTTACTTGACAAAAGACGTGTTAATTTAGTCATGAAAATAGGACAGATACAATCTTCATTAGTATTAGTAAGGACAGCACAGTCACATTTTTTTTGTTTGTTAGAAGTTTAAATCATTAAATGTAAGCATTAATAACTTGACTATTTTGCCCTTACAATTATTTTTAATCATTGCAGGGGCAGTTGAAATTGCAGCAGTAGGAGTTTCAATTGCCATTTTTAATCAAGCCTCTAAAGTCACAATTTTCCCTTTAGTGAACATAACTACTTCATTTGTTGCTGAGGAAGATACTGTTAGAAGAATTAGTGAAAAAGAAGCAAAAGCTGATTTGGAGAAGGGTAAAATGGAGAAGAATGATTCAACAAAACAGCTAATACTAACTGGTGATAATTACAATGACAAGACGGAAACCAAAGAGACTGTGTTAGCACCAGGTATATCTTACGAGTTTAACTTTTATACACTGACAATCATTTTTTTACCATAACTAAACAAAATAATGTTACGTTTACAGAATTTAAGACGACAAAATGTGAGTCTTTGGATAATAAAAGTGAAGGCAAACTCAAACATGTGAAGCGACATATTCCATCAGCTTCAACTGCAATTCTCATGGGATGCATTCTTGGCATTCTCCAGACGATTTTCCTTATATTTCTCGCGAAACCAATTTTAAGCTTAATGGGTGTGAAATCTGTAAGTACAACATCATTAGTACATATTAAATGTGATTTTACGTGTTAAATTATGTGACCATCTCATCAGAAAGAAAGAGTAACATGGTTTTATTTAACGAAATCATACAGGATTCTCCTATGCTTTCTCCAGCAAAGAAGTATTTGACCTTGAGGGCAATTGGTGCCCCTGCAGTCCTTCTTTCTTTGGCTATGCAAGGCGTTTTTCGCGGTTTCAAGGATACTAGAACTCCGTTATTCGCTACTGGTAAGTAGTATTTACTCTGCTATTGAACCAACAACTACTTAAAATACATCAAATAAAATTAAATTAAGATAATTGATCCAACTCTTATCGTTATTTTTCTTCAATTGTATCAGTTGCTGGAGATTTGACAAACATAATTTTGGACCCAATCTTTATTTTTGTTTTCCGTTGGGGTGTTAGTGGTGCTGCCATTGCTCATGTTCTTTCTCAGTAAGTCCTTTTTCTGAATCAAAACTAATTTCAAGTTAGTCACACAATTACTAATATCACTCTGTTGTGTTTCCTTTAGGTACTTGATATCGATTATTCTCCTATTTAAATTGATGACAGAAGTTGATCTATTACCTCCTAGCGCGAAAGATCTGCAGTTCAGCAAATTTCTCAAGAATGGTAAGTAAATGATAGAAGGCGAAAAAGGGCATATAATATACATACATGTATACTTAAGATACTGAAACGACTATCATTACTGGTACCAAATCAACAACGATTCATAAGTACGTTAATTAAGTTGATAAACTTTGATTGCTGTAGGATTTTGGTTACTAGCAAGGGTGATAGCTGTTACATTTTGTGTGACATTGGCTGCATCATTGGCTGCACGATTAGGCACAACGCAGATGGCTGCATTTCAAGTTTGCTTACAAATCTGGCTAACATCATCTCTGCTTGCTGATGGATTAGCTGTAGCAGGACAGGTAAAATAACACACCAACTACACATTTAGGCAATAATAATGCCACTATTAAGTAGAAATGAGACTTCGGTTTTCTTCTTTTCCAGGCAATACTTGCTTCTTCATTTGCTGAGAAAGACTTCCAAAAGGCAAAGGCTGCAGGAGTTCGAGTCCTACAGGTACTGTTCAATAAGTTTGGCTTTAGGCTACTAATTTTATGCAACACGTCAAAACAGGTGATACTGATAAAGTTTTTTGTTATGCAGATGGGATTAGTGTTGGGATTCGGACTTGCTATAGTTGTTGCAATTGGGTTATACTTCGGATCAGGAGTCTTTTCAAAGGACAAAAATGTTATCCGTTTCATAATCATTGCCATCCCGGTACAATTCAATAAACATTATTTCAGATTCTTCTAATTTTCTTTCAGTATTATTAACTTATTTTTCGATCGATCAGTTTGTTGCTGGTACACAACCAATCAATTCAGTGGCATTTGTGTTAGATGGTGTCAACTTTGGAGCAAATGATTTTGCATACTCTGCATATTCCATGGTTAGTTAGTTAGTTTAGACAACTAATTTACCTTTTGAATTTAATTAGAGCAAATCGTTAATGTAAGTAATTTTTATGTAGGTTTTGGTTGGTGCACTAACCATAACCTGTGAGTTTGTCCTTTCAAAAACCAATGGCTACATTGGTATATGGATTGCTTTAGCCATATTCATGGTTCTGCGTACATTTGCCGGTTTATGGAGGTAATCTGTCATTCGTTACCTGGAAAAATAAAAACATAATAAGATACAAACTTAATTGACTCGATATTGATTACAGGATGGGGACAGGAACAGGACCATGGCGTTTTCTGCGGATTCCACCGATGTCAGCAGAAGTCAAGTCATAGAGTTGCTAGAGCACTTATGTGACTATATATATTAATCCATCTATTATTTTCCTTGGGAGTTATAATTATTTTTCTTGCGTATAGGGTAAAAATTCTACAGAATTTTTTACTCATATATATGTTACTATAATTTAATAATAATATATAGTGATGTCATTTTCATATGATTTTGACATTTTTGTAATGGAATATGGCTAGCAGCTAGATATATATGTAGAATATATCTTGGCATATAAACTTTTAAATGTTTTTGGTGTCATATATTCATGAGTCATGACATAATGTCCTTAAATTTTCTTTTTTTTGTTGTTGCTGAAAACAAAATTTCCTACTTAGTTCATCCGTGAAAATGAATCTCCAAATAAAATTGGAAATTGACTTTTTCTCTGGAGTTGAACTTAAAATAATACGTTTGGTCCTAAAATTTTGAAAGAATTTTCAAGAACAACTTTAATTTATATTGGTCAAATACAACTCCAACTTTCAAATATAATTTTTCACTGATTTTTTTTTTTCCAGATTTCACCAATATCCTAGATAATTCACGTTATCGAACATCTCTAGTCAAAATAAGTCTGTAAACTCCATGTCTTTTTCCTTGTAATTAGTCATGCATTTATTTATGGAAATTTTACAAAAAAATATAGTTTGATGCAATATATCACATTTACGTACTTAATATTTTCACATAACACCTGTATAGCCTCTTTTTTTTTTCATCAATACTTATACAATATTATGTATTTAATATACACCACGTATAAATCATGTATAAGATATGTTTTTACACTTTCACATTATAATAGTACTTTATTTTAAAAAATTGTGTTTCGTCTCCTATAAACTTTAACTACGAACCTCCAATAAATGGATCAAATCTTTTTCAAATATCTTCAAATTTAACCACACATGACGCGCGAACGAACCACAACACAAATTTATTTTAAAAAATCTTAAAATTCAAATCACAAATAAAGTTCATCAAGAACATGTTCACAATGCCTACATTATTTTCTCCGAAGGTTCACACAGGTAATTTTCCCTTTATTTATTGTATATTTTGAGAGGATTATATTGATCATTATAATAAATGGAGTATAGTTTAAAGCTGGCTAATCAATAATTTCTGACTAGAGTCGTTACTAATGTCGTCGATAATACAGAATGCCAGCTATATCAAGTCCACATTCATATGAACACATAGTAATATTATTTTATTTATTTTTATTTCCATTGTCGATCGGGAGCCTACATTGGAGTCTTGACTAAATTTGAATCGCGGACTGTAGAATTTATTTGGGGATAACGCTCCCAATAAGATTTTCTCCATACGCAGAGCTTGAATCCAAGACCTCTGGTTAAGGTGAAGCAGTAATATTATTTTTCTATGATTATTGATGTTGATTCATGATATAGAAGCTGAAAGAATTAATAAAAATAACGGAAAAGGGTCAAAAATACCCTTAAACTATCCGAAATAGCTCAAATTGACGATGAACGTCATAGTTTAAGGGTATTTTTTGACCCTTTTCCGTAAAAAAAAAACTACTCACATGTATAGTATATCGTTGACTGATGAGGTAGTTTTTGACATGGGGTCAATATATGTATATATATTGTGTTTGTCACATGTATATATAGTTATATATATACTAGGGTAATTTTGAACTGAGGCAGGCTCATTCTCGTAACATATATGCATCCAAATTTGGACCATGCCAATTTATTTATATTAATTATTATTTGAAAATGTACGATAACAAAAGAATTAGTGAAAGTTACGGTCATATATAAGTTGTTTGACGTAATATAACGACATTTTAGGGCTAAAAAATATATAGAGTTTTAAATACATATGTGGTTCACAGGACAAGCTTATTAGGTACATTTTCGCAGAACTATGACGTTCATCGTCAATTTAATTTGCTTAGACTTATTGGCTATATAAGTATGATCGTACATTACTCTAATCACTTATATAACTTTTTTTTGGGTTATGGACCGGCCAGGCATTTCTACTTCTTGTAGTTTAGTTAAAACTTTTTCCCTCCGTTCGTTTTTTAGTTGTCATGTTATGTTTTTCGAGAGTTAATTTTGTTAGAAAACTTTAAAGAATTCACCTAAGATCACAAGTAAACATTAGAGAGATATTAATATAGAAGAATGATAGAAACACTAACATTGTTCCATTGCAGTAAATACAACAACTTGATTGAAGAAGGCTTGATCTTCTAAGTATGGATACTGCTCTTGTTTAATGTTCTTTTCTGAGCTGGAGAGAAAAAGAAAAAATATATACTCTGAATAAACCTTTTCAAGTATTCTAAAGTGCCTTTTCAAGAAAGGTTTCAGGAAAGGTGTATTTTCATCTTGAAAAAGTACCTTTACACGTTTAAATGGTATCTTTTCAATAAGTCTCCATCAAACTTAAGAAAAGGTCTATGTGTTTCAACATATCTAAATAATAAACCCCATACTGATAGATATTTATTTTTAAAGTCCCAAACTTTAATACGCTATAAGATCATACAAAGGGCTACTTTAAGGATAGCATATTTGTAGAAATCTCACGTCTAGGATTAGAGAAATCAAGGATTGTATTGATGATTTATAATGTTGAGTTACAAGCTCCTTATATAGGAGAAGAGTCCTATTCTAGTTATACTAGGAATCCTACTACAATACAATTATTTATATGAGGAGTATTGTATTATAACTCAAATACCATATCCTAGTCGACTCCTATAATATGCAGTAGCTTAGTCGTACATAACTTAGGATTTAGTAGTCTAATCCTAGTATGACTCTAACTCTAACTTGTCAGCCTGCTTCGATGGACCTGTTCCTTCGACATGTTCCATCAGTCTTCAAACTTCCTTCAACAATATTGTCTACGTATAAAATATTAATATGTGAGTCCACAAAATAGAAATTACTAACAATCTCCACTTGGACTACATATATTTCTAAAGAATCATTCATAGATGAACTTTGTTGTGCACAAACTTTTGTTATCTTAATGTAAATATCTCAAAACAATCTGATCCATCGATAATACCAATATTGGATCAAAGCAGTTTTCCTAACATATATTCGTAACTAATCCCATTAATGGTCGCTACAAGAAAAATGGGAATTACATGGAAATTTTTCTGGGGATTATGTATGAAAATTCGCAGGAAAATAAGTTTCCTGCGAATTTTCTTATAAAAAAGAATCTAGAGGTAAAACCTTCGTAGGTAATTATTTCCTGTGAATTTCAAAATCCCCAACTAATTTACATAGGGATTTAAATTCCGCAGGTAAATTACTTGCGAATTTTCTTGCAAAATATACAAAAGATAAAAATGAATTTTCTTACCAATTTATTCGCAAGTAAAGCCGGCAGGAAGATATTCAAATAAATTTATTTATTTATTTATTTTATTATTCATTGAACCCCCTAGACACATATATACCTACCTATCCATATTTCTCACACAACTACCCACCCATTGCACAATTTCATAAGTGCCCAATCCCACATGAAATTCAATTTAATTGCCTTTCTAATGCAACCTCCCCATGAGATTCCATGCCCACTCATTTATAGTTGCTCCTTGAAATTTCATTCTACCAATATTCAAGTCATAGCATTATATATGCAAAAAAATTGGTGTCTTTTTCCGATGTGGTACAAAAGATACCATGACACTACAATAATTTTTTTTTGTGTCTTTCTCCAATTTGATTAATTTTTAAAGCAAAATTTAATTAATTCAATTGAGTATTTAAAATATCATTTAGATATTCATAAATTCTACAAAAGTACTCTTAATTCATCTCATATCAATATGGTAATAAAATATATCCTAATCATTGGCTAAAGTTCATGTAATTTGACTCTTAAAAAGTGAAACATGACAATTATTTATATATATTTAAAATAAATCACTACCACCCAACATTCATGAAAATTTTATGCTTACACTTCCTATGAGATAATGCCTATAACTAAGCATACTAAACATAGACAAAGTTTAAATTATACTTACAAAGTTTTTATAAATAAATAATTGAAATATAAATAAATTTATAAGTTTAAAGTGCAAGAAAGTTATAATCAATAATTGATAGTATATCTTATTAGGTATTTGTGGTATTTTTAATTTTAATTTATATTTTAATAATTATATTTTAACATACTTAATTATATATTTGCAAATAAATATCATTTAATAACTTACTATATATAGAGAAATTATGTCATTTTTAATGCTTATAAAAAATATCAATTGGATATACAAGTAAAGTTTATTTATTTTTCATTTAATATAATTTTTATCAATGAAGGGTAATTAAACTTCACATTAATAGTGTATATCATCGAATTTTTCTATACTTTAATATAATGCTTGACTTATTCAATAATACACAATTTAATATAAATAATATTAAATCAATTTTAATTACATTTATGATAGTTATTTTTCTATTGGGTAAATAACTAGTCATATAATTTTAATTCTTTCTATCTTTTAAATTGAAAAAAAAAAAACAAGAAAAAAAACTGCATCATTGATTTTTTTGTGATAAGTTAAAAATATTGAAAATGACATTTGTAATAATGTTCCAACACCGTATTAGATTGATATTATTGTATAATAATTTATTTAATCTAGAAATAGAGAAAATATTTAACAATAAAATTCATTCTACTGTCCTTGATATTTTTTATATTATTGTAATTTTTTATTTGGTTAAATATATTTTAAAGAAAATATTCTACAAAGTTTTCAAATAAAACAAGTTCTTAGATTCAAAAGAAAAAAAACTTCCAGTTAAATTATATTTAAAAAAGTTCAAGTATGCATTCCTCAAAAAATCTCCAATCAAATTCACAATAATAAAATTCTCAAGTGATTCTACAAGTAAAAAAATTTCCAGGTAAATCCTCAAGAAATAAATTCCCAACAAAATTCATAGAACATAAATCCCCAGGTAATACACATATAAAAAAAAATTTAAATTTATTTTTAAGTAATTATTTCTAACTGGATCGATAAATAAGTTTATTTGGGAATTTTCTTTCAAACAAATTAAAAAATAGTTTTTTTTTTCATTACTTGCGAATTTACCTATGAAAATTGTACTGGCAAATTATTTACCCCAAATAATTCCCTAGGTAATAATTTTGCGAAAATGACACCAAATTT